AAATGCAGGAGGCCCAGTAAGAGCTGACATTTATTCAACGCTAACACCTAAAGATTTACAGAGTGACGAGGAAGCTGCTCCCCTCCGAGCCGGCAGCACGTACCTGGGCCCCTCAGTACTTCTTGACGCTGTAGGGCAGCCCCAGCACAGGCTTGGCCCGCGGGAAGGGGGGGGAGTTCCAGACGGCGGAGCTCGTGCGCCGCAGGTACCGGGGTTTGCTCTTGTAGAAGATGTCCTGGAGCTGCAGGCTCGGCATCGTCCCGAACACGGCGTCCACGCTGGGCGGGTTGTAGTAGAGCTGCAGCACGGCCTGGTTCAGCTGGCTCCCTGCAGCGGGGCACAGGGGGAGCTGAAGCCCTCGGGGCCCTGCTCAGCCCCCCCTCATCGCGCCCGGAGCACAGACAGGAGAAATCACAGAATCCCAACCGGGTTTGGGTTGGAAGGAGCTTACATCACCCAGTCCCACCCCCTGCCATGGGCAGGGACACCTCACACCAGCCCAGGTCGCCCAAGGCTCTGTCCAGCCTGGCCCTGAGCACTGCCAGGGATGGAACATTTACTTCCTTGGGCAGCCTGTGCCAGGGCCTCACCACCATCAAATCCTGGCCCCAGTTCAAGCCAAGAGATTCACCACAGGTCACTCGGAGAGGGAATATTGTGTGCACTGATTTCAAGAGACAGGGCTCTGCAGCCCTCCCTCCAGGCACATACCGGTACTGTCCCCAGAGCGGGCTCAAACTGAAACAGGGGAGACTGAGCTGAGTTCTGAGGCAGAAGCTCTTCCCTGGGAGGGTGCTGAGGCGCTGGCACAGGGTGCCCAGAGAAGCTGTGGCTGCCCCATCCCTGGCAGTGCTCAAGGCCAGGTTGGACACAGGGGCTTGGAGCAAGGTGCTCCAGTGGAAGGGGTCCCTGCCCGTGGCAGGGGTTGGAGCTGGAGGAGCTTTGAGGTTTCTTCAACACAACCCAAAACCATTCCAGGGTTCTCAGTTACACTGGGGTAGGTGACATCACGGCATTGAGCATTTCAGAACCAGAACAACCCCAGTCTGGATCCTGGTCCCTGCCATCTGGCAGAACTTTGCTTTTTAAAGCCAAACCAATGTCAAAGCGGGCTCAAGGCCAGAGCAGCAGCTCACAGTCATGCGTTTCACGCCAGCAGCCCCCTTAAGGCAGTTTTAAACAGCATTTGCTCCCCAACACTGTTGTAAGATCATCCCCACGTGGCTGAAGAGCCCCTGGCTCTGCACTCCAGCCACGCTGCTGGAGACCACTGCATTTACCCAGTGCATGCACCAGGAGGACCTGCTCCAGCTCTTACACCAGCTCTTACTGCCCACTGGAGCGAAGCTTGGAGGGTCTGGGACAGGTACCAACACGTACTTGAGGCCCAGGCAGGGATGGGCTTGCGAGGCTGGCTTTCATCATCAGTGGAGTCATCACTGTTCACATCCATCCCATAGCTGGTTGAGGCCACCACGGGCGGCTTTGGACACTTGGGGCCCTGTGGAGTCATCTGGTAGGAGGCGCAGGCAGGCGAGTTCTGCAAGACAAGCGTGTGCCCGGCTGTCAGAGGCAGCAGCACCGCATCGCTCCCGGCGCTGCAAACACCGCAGTGTCCTGGAATTGCAAGTCCTGGGCTCTGGCACTTCCAAAGCTCTCACCAAGAGCTCGCCCCAAGCCCCCAAGCCCTGCTGCAGTGAAGGGATTGCACTGCTCCTCCTGTGTGGCCAGGCTGCTCCATCAGCCCTGTGGGACGTGACCACACCGGCTGCGGATGCTTCCAATATACCCAAGTTCCCTTCCATTCAATCAAGGCTTGAAGGGAGCTGTTACATCCTCAGAGCGGGAGCTGAGCCGTGGGCCCTCAATGCTCTGCAGCTTCTGAGCTTTAACACTATGACTGGTTATCACCACATGGAGAACCCGCCTGCAAAGCGGGGGACAAGCTGCTGTCGTTTTTATGGGGAGAGCATTACTGAGAAATGCAGGGGGCGAAGGCTCACCACCCATGAGACACGTCTCTGGAGTCGGGCTGAGCTTTCCTCCCCCCCAGGAGGCTCCTGATGACTTTCTGCCCATTCGCATTAACTCAGATTTGCTGGGCTTGCATTTAAGGTCACAACACGGAGCTTTGCAAGGAGATCAAGACCCAGGGGGTTGGTTTCAGAGGGGAAGCCTCCGCGCTCAGCGGCGGGTTTGGCTCCGGGCCCATCAGCAGGGCCCCAGCCCAAGGCTATTCCCCAGCCTCTGCTGCCACCCCGTGGCTGGTTTCAACCCTGAACCTCAGCAGCAAACCCAGCCTCTCCCTTCTGCCTGCCTGCGCAGCTCGCTCAGGGTTTCAGGAGCAACAAACCGCAGCAGCCGCTGCCTCATCCCGACAGGGAAGCCCTGGGGACCGCTTGCCGCTGCTTCCCTTCCCTCCTTTCACTCCCCAAAAGCCACTTAAATGCTCAACACCAGCAGGAGTCAACCTCAGGTGACCAGGAAAGCAGTTTACAGAATCCCTTTGCTACCGAAAGGGGACAGGAAAAGCAGAGGGTCAAAGTGCTTGGAGCAGTGTCAGGGCTGGGCTCCTTCCCTGCTGTCATCCCACAAGGAATCTCACTGGGGAGCAGCGTTACCTGCTGCTGTGTTAGGGCTGCCTTGCCAGACTGCTGCTTCTCTGCCAGCTTCTTCTGTTCTTGCTCCTGCCTCTTCATCTCCGCCAGCCTCTGCTCTTCCTGCTGGGAAGCCAACACCACAAGTCAGCCAAGCAGCCAGGCACCAAGCAAGCCATGCTCTTAACCCGGGGGGGCATTATTTCTGATATCCAAAAGAATATCCAAGCATTTCAGTGCAAGTCTCTGCCCTGGTGATGCTCAGGAGCACGTTGAGCACGGGGCAGACAGCAAACAACCAACACAAAGGTCTGAGCTTTCCTTGGCAAGTAGCACAAACAGAGCAACACTCCCACTTCAGAGCAGGAGCTGCCTTCCTCTGACAACAGTGACCTCATGCTTTGAGGAGCTTTGCACCAATTGTGTCTTTGGGGTATCAGCACTGACAGCAGCTGCCATCTGTGCTACAGGGGAGTTTTTCAATACCTAAAGGGGCCACAGGAAACCTGGAGAGGGGCTTTGGCCAAGGGCCTGTGGGGACAGGCCAAGGGGAATGGCTTGAACCTGCCCGAGGGGAGACCGAGATGGGATCTCAGCAGCAGGGATCTCAGCCAAGGCACCAGCACTGCCCCTTCACCACCAGGCAAACCCTCCTGCTGTTATTGAGTGCTGGCCCCAGGGCTGCAGAAGAGCTGGCAGAGGCTGCTCCTGTGCTCTGCTGAGGGTGGCACAAACACGAAGCTGAGGCGGAGCTTCTGGAGAGCCTAGCATCAGTTACTGTTTGCTACCAAGAGAGGTACAGATGCACCCAGCACAGACAAGCTGAGAACCTCCCTTCGGTTCAGTGTGTGTCACCTGTCCTTTCCTCCAGCAGGGATGCCATGCAAAGAGAGCCAGCCTGCCTCCCAGAGGGACAGGGGGGACACCTTTGCCCAGCTCAAATGCAGTAGGGCCACAGCACCCATCAGGGTTCTCAATAGCTGCACAGCTGAGCTGCCCCCAGCAGGAACAGCTCCTGCAGTCAGATCCACGTGGCTCTGCCCATCCACAACGAGGGAGCACTTACTTCTTTCTTCTCCAGCTCCTTCTGGAGTCTCAGTTTAGCAGCCAGCACCTCCTTCTTCAGGCGGGCAGCCTTCTCCTGCTCCCGGAGCCTGAGGGCCAAAGCAGAGCATTACCCTCACAACCAGGCCGGGGCACGCTCTCATCCCGAGCCTGCACCAACCCCTTGGTTCCTCACAGCTTTTCAGGGCGCTCCCACCAGAGCTCCTGCATTACTGAGCCCAGAATGTCTTCTGGCAGCTCAGGACCAGGACATCGTGCTGCGAGCACAAAGTAGCTCTTCACTGCCCGAGTCTGTCTCTGTTCCTGCTGCTGTTCAAAGCCCCAGCACAGAATTCAGTGCGTGAGTGGATGTTGTCTTACTTTTCTGCCTGGATCCTCTCCTGTTCCTTCTTCCTCTCCAGCTCTCTCTCTGCAGCCAACTGCTTTTCCCTCTCCTGTTCTGCCTGTCTCTGCTCAGCAATCTTCCTGGCACGTTCCTGCTCCTCTTCCTTCCTCTTCTGCATTAGCTCTTTGTGCCGACGTTCCTCCTCCTCCTGGTAAGCCCAACAAGGCAGTTACTCAGTGTACAGGAACTGGCTCTGGCACAAAGGAGCAGGAGCAACTTATTCAACCCAGAGCCTCCAGTTCCTATTGCTGCACAGTGGGGAAACAACTTGGGGCTGAAGTCCCAAGTGCTTTCAAGGGAGGTGCTATTTCAGTGTTGGCCTCTCCCTGCCCACAGTGGACCCCAAAGGGCCTGGTGGCCACCACAGCCCCATCTCTGGGACACAGGTTTCTAGTGCAGAGATCTTCATCCTGTCAATCACAAATTAGGGTCTTTAGTGAGACTGTCCAGAACTGGAGAAGGAACCTGGGTCACCACTGACAGCTCACAGCACCCTGGCAGGAAAGGTGGGAAGCACAACACCGTGGAGGGCTTCCAGGACAGAGGCTCTGCACCTCCCTGATCTGCACTCAGCTGGCTCTTGTTAGCCCTCCTGTTGCAGGGGCTGTGGCCATTCCACCTGCACCAGGAAGAGGGGCTCCAGCACAGACCTGCTGCAGGGCTCTCTGTCTCCTGGCCTCCTCCTCCTGCCTGCGCCGGGCCTCTGCCTCCTCCATCTTCCTGGCAGCTGCTTTCTTTTTGATCTTCTCCTCTGCCAGCCTTTCCTCCCGCACCTACAACACAAACACACACAGACACACGGAGCCAGCTGAGCACCCGGCCTTGGGTGAGACTGCCCTGTCCCTGGGGAGCACCACAGCAGGATGCAGAGCTCCCATCCCCTCAGGGGGCCAAAGCTTCTTCCTTTGCCACCAGGAGCCAATGGGACCTGTACTTGATTTGAAAGGGCAATGACCTTTTCCATGGGCACAGGAAGAGCTGGGGTATCGCATTCTACACCTCAGACCACAAAAGCCATCACAACATACTCTCAGAACCGGGAATAGGAAAAGCAGATGGAGATAATTGAAGCAGACAAAGGACTGCTCTGCTTGCATGTGCAAATTGCCTCAAAGTCTCAGACCCCAGAGAGGGGCTGGAGGAAGTGGTTTATTTTCACCTCTTCCTCTATTAGTCAGATGGGAGAACAGCTTCAAGACCAAGCCTCACGGCCATTAGTCTGCTTTAGCTACTGGAAGTTCTCTCATCTAACAGCGCCTTAATGAAGCCCATTTAGAGAATCACAGCTCTGGAAAATCAGGGTTTCAGCTGCTGTATCCACGACAAGGCAGCCACTCAATCACCCAGCTTCTGGAACGTTCTTTATCCCACTATTCTCCAGCTCATTCTCTGGATCTCAAGCAGCCTCAGCTCCTCTCTCTCCACAAGGCACATTTGCGTGGCATCACCTCACTCAGCAGAGCATCTGTGCTCCCCAGTGAACTCTGCAGTGCGCTGGGCCTTACCTTCTCCGTCTTCTCATCAAACAGAGCTATCTTCTGCTCAATCCGCCTCTTCCTCTCCTCCTCCATCTGCTCTGCCCGCTCCCGGGCCTGCAGCACCTTCCGCAGGCGCTCCTCGCGCTTCCTGCGGGACACAGCCCAGGCTCAGCCCCGCAGCCCAGCCACCGGAGCTCCTTACACACACACGAGCCCACAGAACGGCTCGGGGCAGCAGGGCCTTCATACGGCACCATTAAACACCAGGGGTACTTTTAAGCCCCAAGACCGAGGACCTGAGCCAAGAAGCAGCGGCCAGGACGGTTTCACTTGTCCTTAGCCCTCCCAATGGAGAAAAGAGCAAACACTTTGTGGAGGCAGAGCGAGACAACTTGTGCTGCCTGCACGGTGTGTGCAGGATGAGAGACCTGGCCCTGGGGCCCTGCAGGCGCAGGGAGCAGCCCGGCCAGGGCAGAAAGCCAACACTCACAGCTTGGCCTCTTCCAGTCGCCGTTTCTTTTCCTCCTCCAGCTTCTGTTTCCTCAGCTGCTCAGCCTGCTGCTTCTTCCTCAGAGTCTCCAGCTTCTGCCTCTCCTTTTCCTGAGGTGGAGTGAAATGAGATTATACTCCTGTGACAGAGCTGCTTTCTACCTCACCTTGCCCAGGTTAAGCAAGGGCCTGGAGATAACACCAAGGAACTGCAGCCAGAACCCAAGGATGCTGCCAGCAACCCTGGAGCAGAGCCCAGGTAGCCATTGATGTGGTCATGGGCGCTTGGGAACAGATGCAATGGAAAACAAGGCTGTGGTGTTAATCTCGGAGAAGCTGGGAAGCTGAAAAAGAAGCATCAGCTCCTGAAGGCCAGGCAGCTTCCGCAGGGATTGCAGGCAGCTTCCCCAGGGACTGCAGGCAGCTTCCCCAGGGACTGCAGGCAGCTTCCCCAGGGACTGCAGGCAGCTTCCCCAGGGACTGCAGGCAGCTTCCCCAGGGACTGCAGGCAGCTTCCCCAGGGACTGCAGGCAGCTTCCCCAGGGACTGCAGGCAGCCAGCACTGAGGCTTGTGCTGGTAACCACCAGAAAAGCAGTGCTGATGCTTGGCAGTGCTGGTGCTTGGCAGTGCTGCCAACTCCCTGCAGTGTGCTGGGACAGAGCCTGCTCTAGGAAACACCTTGCTTGCCTCAAGTCAGAGCTCCAGTGCTGTCCCTGCCTCCCACAAAGCTTCCTCTCATGGTGAACCACCACCACCTGGAGGGCTCACAGCTCCGTTCAAGCCCCACCTGTCAGGCAGGCAAACCCAGGGCATTCCTGTCCTTCTGCTAAGCAGTCCAGCTAACTGGGCCCAAGAACACCCTCATTAGAAGAACACGATCCAGCCATCAGTCCAGTACAGCAAGCAGACCGAGATAAACTAATTTAATGCCAGATTTGATACTGCAGATGCCCAATTACAACAGGCCTGGTCTCAGCACAAAGCCACTGATAAGCTCGGTGAAAGGTTCAAGTGATTGCCTTGTGCTGGGCTCCACGCTGTGAGTGATTGGTGCTATTAGCATCTGAGCTGGCTGATTTGAAACTAATGCTCGTATCTTCCTGCTCTGGTGCTGTTTAGTTACATCTGGCTCCCGCATGGAAAAAGTCCTGAGGGGAAGCTGCCTGTGCTGGAATGAAACCTGAAATAGAACATCCAGGACAAACTGGCCAGAAGATCCCTTCCCGTCCCATTAGCACCACTGCCAGCACAGACACCAGCATCAGGAGGAGCACCATGAGGCTGAGGATGGAGTCCTGCTCTAATCCCTGCTGACAGACCTCTCCTCTCTGCTGCAGCACAGCAGGACTCTCAGCAGCACAACCCTGACACCTTTAAACAACAAAAAAGTTCTGGTATCAGGTTGCCAGAAACAAGCTGGATGCAGGAAAACCAGTTCCTGCAGGATGCCCTCCTCTCTCTCCCCACTCTCCTGCAAGTGAAAACATGCTGGGTATCAGCAGTATGAGCAGCCTGTGCTCAACATGGCCCTAGGTGCATCTGTGAAGCTACACCCTTGTACCTTGTACACTGACTTCTCTTCCCAGTTAAAAGCAGGTAAGGAAGAGCGAGGGCTGCCCATCAGGGGTGGATGCAGGCAGTATTCCTCCCGCAAGTCCAGCCCATGTAATTAAATCATAATTTAGGACCAAACTGTCCTGTGAAAACTCCCTTTGGAAATCTAGAAGCAGATCTCAGATCCCATCCACCCAAACAACTGCTCTGTTTGGTGCACGGGGCTCCCTCTGTGATGCTGAGACCATCACTGTGGCGTGCGTAGGGCAAAGGCACCAGCTGCAAACAGCACAGGAGTGGATTTGTCTCTGCTGGTTGCAACAGTCACACAACATTAATGTTGATGCCCACTGGACTTGGACACTGGCACACTCGTCCCTCTGACCCAGCAGCCTCCCATTCAGGAGACCTGCTTCTTCCTGCTTCAAAGGTCTGGAACAGCTCAGACCATCAGCAGTTTGGATTTGAGGCATTTGCTCAGACATTCGTCAGAACAGTCCTAGAAAGGAGACTTTGGACGTGAGACTTCAGTTGTAGACACATCTCCACTGCAGCATTCAAAATCCCCTGGATTTTCGTTTCCCTGTTTTCATTCCTCACTTACTGGCGAATACCACAGGGGAATGGTACAGCAACAAAGCCCAGAGTCCAAATTAGAGCCCCTTAGCAAGCTGACTAAGCAGAGTCTTGTGTACTTCATGTAAGTGTAAACAGCAGCCTCTGGTTACTTTAAGATGGGTCAAAAAGTTTCTTTTCACATCAGCTGACACCCATCAGACCATCACATCCCAGCTTCCAGCTTTGCTTACCTTGGGATCGGAGCGCAGAGGGGTGTTGTGCTTGATGAAGGACTTGATGACCCCATTCCTCCCCACAGAGCACGGTGTCATGAGCAGCTGGTTCTTCTGCACAGTGTGCAGGAACGTCTTGAACGGCCGCACAACCTGTGGGAGGAATGCCAGGGAGGACCCTCAGGAGGCGGAGGGGGAGCAGGACCCGGGGCAGTTACATCAGGGGAACAGAGCTCTTACTTTGCTGGCTGGGAAGGTTGGGGACGGGGACTTCCTTCTCAGAGGAGAAAGCCCTCCCTCTTCTGCTTGCTGCTGGTCGTAGCGCTCATCCACAGCTCTCTTGTAGCTTGGCTTTCTCCTGGGAGAAAACCACAGCATCGTCCGTGGCAAATCCTCCATTGTCTCAAAGCCAGATGTGAAAGAGGCCATAAAACTACCCTAGCTTCCATCCCACTGGCTATGCACAAGGAGTCATCCAAGAGAAGATTCCCCACATGACAGAAGGTACAACTTAAATAAGATGCAGATTAAATCCCCCTTTCCTGGAGGCAGAGAAAGCCTATTGCGAGGGCTCCACAGCCACAAGACACTGAAGCCATTGAGCAACGTTTCAATGTTGAACCTGCTTTGAACTGGGCTATGGATCTCCCAAGGCACGTCCTGACTGGAATGATGCAAACGTACCTGGCGCTCTGGGGCGGTTGCTGGGCCTCCCCACTCTTATTTAAGTTGCTTTCTGAAAGAAAACACCATTACATTGTTAGTTCTAGCAGAAAAATACCCCTTCCACAGAGCTCTGAAAGCAGATGGGATTCAGCAGCCACTGTACAGCAAAACAGCCTGCCACAAGTCCTGCACAGCACGAGCTTCCCTGCTTCAGCAAGCAGCACACAGCACCCTTCAAACCTAGACACGTCTAGACACCTAGAGTAACCCACGTTACAGCTTGCACAAACACTGCCCAGATCACAGAATCCCAGCCTGGTTTGAGTTGGAAGGGACCTTAAAGCTCCTCCAGCTCCAACCCCTGCCACAGGCAGGGACCCCTTCCACTGGAGCAGCTCGCTCCAAGCCCCTGTGTCCAACCTGGCCTTGAACACTGCCAGGGATGGGGCAGCCACAGCTTCTCTGGGCACCCTGTGCCAGCGCCTCAGCACCCTCCCAGGGAAGAGCTTCTCCCTAAGAGCTCATCTCAGTCTCCCCTCGGGCAGGTTCAAGCCATTCCCCTTGGCCTGTCCCTACATCCCTTGTCCCAAGCCCCTCTCCAAGTTTCCTGCAGCCCCTTCAGGCACTGGAGCTGCTCTCAGGTCTCCCCTTCAGGAGCCTTCTCTTGTCCAGGCTGCCCCAGCCCAGCTCTCTCAGCCTGGCTCCAGAGCAGAGCTGCTCCAGCCCTCGCAGCAGCTCCGTGGCCTCCTCTGGACTCGCTCCAGCAGCTCCAGACACAGAGCAACCACTTGCTTCAGAAACATGGTTCAAGCAGGCCTCCCATACCCCGCAGCACGCAGCCCTCCTCCCTCACTACATCTGTCTCCATGTGCTCCCCAGGGTGGAAAATAACTCAAGAGGCACAGAACTTCCAAACTGCTCCTCTCCTGAAGCAAACCCTCACTCATCAAAGGTCAGGTCAGGCTCTCAAGCTGGGCAGCCAAGTGTTGAGACTGCCCAGGGCTCTGCCCCAGCCCTCCTGCGGGTACCGTTACTGCTCGTGCCCTCCTGCAGCCTCTTGCTCCTGTTGCCGGACTGAGAGCGCAGCGACATCTGGAGACTCTGTTGATCCTGCAGGAAAAGCAAAGGGGATTGAGCACAACTCACCCAGACACAGCCAGTTCCTGCTTCAAGTCCTGCTGTCACCGACAGGGATGCTGCCTGCAGAGGATGCAGCTGACAGTGGCACCCGGGCAAAGCCCTGAGCTCCAGCTGTGAAAACAGCTCGGGACAGCATCTTGGATGTTGTGTCACCACTGGGAGCACAGACACTGACAGACCCAAGTGTCTGCAACAGGGGAAGCACCCCCTAAACTGAACAAACTCAGACACTGGCACAGTCAGCAGCATGCAGGATCCTGGCAGTCACAGTTCTCCTGGTGAATGGACAGACAGGAGACAGCAGAGACAAACTGCTCATGTCCTGGGTTTCTCTGGGTGCTATTCACTGCTCTCAGGCTTACACAAGTGCTGCACTGATGGGTTATGTGCCTGCAGCAGCAGGGAACGGCTTTTGCCTTCTGCTTGTGCCAGCAGCACAAGCATTAAGCCCCACACTGGCCAGCCTGCAGCACAGCAGACACCGAGGAGCTGGGAAGAGAGGAACCTTCATCCTCCCCACAGGCTTCTGGCGGCTCTTATCCTGCGCAGGAAGCATCTCACAGCCTGACAGAAGGACTCATTAATTCAAGATCAGGCCTGAGGAGAATCTACCCTTTAAGTGGCAACATCCTGGTCCTGTTTTCAGCTGTTCCTATGGACAAAGACACTGCCTGGTTGGAGAAGGCTCCAAGTCACCACATCCTCACGGCTCCCAGAGGAAGTCTGACAGAAACCAAACCCCATCTGCTTTGCCAAGAAGATGCTGACAGATGGGTCGATGGGGCAAGGTAACCAGTGACAGGGGCTGAGCTGCAAGCTGCCAGCAGCAGGGGTGTAGAAATAAAAGGTGAGGATCAAGGATAGACCTTGCTACTCTCCATGGACTGCACTGAACTGATGGGTTATCGGGGTACAGAAACAAAAAGGCCCAGCCCTGCAGTGCACTTGGGTGTGGGTTGTGTTTTTCCTTTCCTTCTCCGTGTTTTCACTTTAAGCTGTTCTTCAGCTGGAACTCAGGCAAGCCAGAGATCCAGGGACACTGGAAAGCCAGGATTTATTGGAACTGCTGCAGCTGCACTGACAAGCACAGCCACAAGGCACATACAAGCCTGTCCCTGTTCATACAAGTGCTTAAGGCCACAGAGCTCTGCTCCATTCATTCAGCCTTTGCTTACTGGAGGTGATTCTGGACAAAACCCCGACATGAGCCTGGGATTTCCTCCTCAGGAGGAAGGAGGGAATCATGGAGGGATGTTTTGACCTGAAGGAGATTCACAACTTTCTGTGGTTGCCGTAAGCCAAAGTGAGAGCTGTGAATCACCTCACAGCTTGGTCAAAAGCAGCTTTAAAACTACAGGAAAACAGTGCACAACCTGCCCCTGAAAACAGCTGCCTGGACTGTGAGAAGGTGCTTTATGTGCAGAGATTCCGAATGGAAGCAGCAAGAGCCAGAAAGCAGGACCCACCTCGGAATGCCGGCGATCCCAGGGCTGGTCATCAGCACTGGTAGGCCCCAACCCAACTTTAAACCCTTGTGCAACATGATGGAGGCAAGGGCGTTCTGCAGTCAGAGCTTTGAAAGCAGCCGAGCTGGTAGCACCCGACTCCAAACGCCTGTGCTGGTGCCCAGAACAAGCCTTGGCACTCATGGGCCAGATACGATTCCCCAGTAACAAATAAAGGTGGGTTCAACACGTTCCTCTCAGGAACCCACCCAAACAGAAACACTTCTCTGCTCAGATCTTACCGGCTTGGGGGGGGTGCATGGTCCAGGAGAAGGCCTATGGGAAAACACAGAGAAAAAAGGCAGGTGCATTTAGTACCACCAGAGAAAGGGGAAGCCCCTTGGTACCTGCAAGCAGTAAATGACACCGTAAGTCCCCCAGGAGGGATATTAAGGATGAAGAAAGAACATAAAGGATTCTCACCCAGGTTTGAGAACCGTTTCCTCTTCCTCTGGTATCTCTCCAGAGCTGGAGACTGCAGAGAAAGAAAACAAACACCGGAGCTGTGACAGGCACAGGCCAAGGCTGTCAGGAGCCCTTGGGGCTGAGGTTATCCCCTATGGGTCACGCACACACTGCACCCAAGAGCAAGAGAGAAAAAGCAGCAACTGGAATGCAAGAGAGGAGGTGGTTTCAATGACAGAGGAGTTCAAAGCACTCATTAAGCACTTGCATTGAGAAGGGCTGGGCTCAGACTCAGGAGCAGTGGTTACACCCAGTGTTACTTAGGGTGAGTGCTGCTTCCTGCATGGAGCATCTGCTGGCTCAAGGGCAGCTCCAAGTGCCAGCACAGCCAGAAAAGGCTGCGTCAGGTGGTTTTTATTACCTTTGCTATATTTTTATTTATCTATTTTATTTTATTCCTCTATTTCCATCACATTACAAAGGTGCTGCTGCGCCTTCAGCCACTGCAGAGCCCCCAGGATCAGCCTTTGCACAGCCCTCACACCCGGGACCAAAGGAAGCACAAACACACGTGGGGTGCATGCACATGCCACACACACACATGTGCATCATCACACACACATGTGCATCATCACACACACATGTGCATCATCACACACACATGTGCATCATCACACACACATGTGCATCATCACACACACATGATGCACGCACACTGCATGTGCACCCCCCAGACACACAGAGAACCCCCCTGCACGCGCACACACACACACACACACACACACACACTCTGCCATCCATCAGAGTGCTCTGGGCTCACCCAGAGCTGCCCGGAGCATCCCAGCTCCTGTCCCTGGTACCAGATGTTTTGACCGGGCAGAATTGTGTCAAGCAGCACAGGAGGAGAAATAAAGCCCTGACCCCCCCTCAGGATCCCAGATCTGGACACATGGACCTGCCTTCACTGTGCAGGGAGCCCTCAACACTGCGCCGAGACACCACAGAGCTCCAGGCTGCCCTGCTCCCAGGAAACCCCCCCAGGATGCTGCAGGGCTCCAGTGCTGGAGGAGCACTCACCCAGAGCAGCTACACTGGGGTGGAAAACCCTTCCCTGCAGAGCAGGGTACCTCTTCCACAGCAAAGCAGGATACCCCTTCAGGAAAGGCACAAACCCCACTCAGCTGCACACCAACACCTTACACAGCATCATCTCAGCTCTGTGTGTTCTCCTTTCACAGCAGCTGCACAAAAGAGCCACCCCCAACATCGAATTGGGTGAAGAGGCTCTTTTGCATCCCCTGCATGTCAGGAGACATTCACTAGGCCAACATTTACCAGCTACATCTTTCCCTTGGCATGGAAAGCCAGAGCCTCTACCCAGCCCCTTGCTCTCCAGCACCAAACCCAACCCAACATTCCAGCACCACAGGAGAGCACTGAGATCAGTCTGTGCCCACTGCCTCCTCTCCTGAGGTGCCTCCACTGCACACTGTGAGTCTGGAAGACTTCTAATGCATTTACCACGTTGAGCCTCAGCATTCCCTCCTCAAGAGCAGCTCTGACAGTTACAGCCAGGCTCTGCCCAAAGGCAGCGAACCTGTGACAGCCACCTCATGCCCCAGGAAACACACAGGCCCCCAGGAGAGCCCACAGCAGCCACAAAGCCCTTTCACCATCTTCCTCCTCCGCTCTGGGAGCTGCCACCACCACAGGAACCCAAGAAGCCTTAAAGCTGCTCTCCCAGATGATTTACAAGGCTGAACTGAGTTCACAAAGTTACTGGGTTCCCTAGTCACATTGGTCTCTTGAAGCCAGAGCACATCCATGTTTCACCCCAGGAAGATCAGCTGCACACCCAAAGGGCAGACCTAGCCCGTGACATTGCTTTCCTTCGGCAGTGGGCAGCAGCAGGTCAACAAAGAGAGCAGGGAGGGCGCAAAGCAAGCTCAGTGGTGGTGCTCACACTCACCATCGATGGAGCTGGAGATCACGGACGACGCCCGAGCCGCCTTCCTCTTGATGGCCGAGCTCCTGCGCACGCTCTCCCTCCTGCTGGCCAGGGAGTACTTCTCTGCCAGGGAGGTTCTGTGGATCAGGGAGGCTTTGCCCATGAGGCTCCTGCGCACGGAGTGACGGCTCAGCCTGGAGCCCGTCGGGGTGCTGGGGGGGTCCCTCACGTGCCGGGGGGAGGCCTTCTCAGGGCCCCGCTGGGCCCCAGCAGAGTCCTCGGCCTCCTCCAGCCGGGTCTGCTCACTGACAGCGACCGCAGCATCGGCCGCCTCCGCTGCCCTCGGCTCGGGGGCAGCCCCGCTTGCTCCCACACCGCTTGCTTCGGGGGTACAAAGGAGCAGCTGCTCAAAGGCTACAGGCACAGGCTCAGAGGGGGATTTGGCTGCACTGCTTTCCTTGGGAGAACCATCCTGAGAGCTCAGGACGATGGGTGAGGAGAGCTGCTCTGCTGCTTTGGGAGCTCTCTCCCGGAGCGGTGTCACATCACTGATGGGATCGCTGGCATCAGCTTTCACTGAGGGAGCCTTCCTGCGTGCGTGCCGGACAGGAGGGGTCTCAGAAAGGACCTGGGAGCTTTTAGCCTGTGCCACCTGGGATCTTGTCACACGTCGAGGAGGGGAGGCGTCTTTGGCCTCAGCCATGACAAGTTCCAGGTTTTCTTTATTTTGGATCCGTTGGGAATATCGTGTGGAGGACACCAGTTTGAGACTGCTGTTCTTCCGTCTGGACAATCTAACAACACAAACACTGTGTTAGACTGCAACTGAATTCAGGAACAGAACAAAGCCCTTCCATGCACTTTAGGGAACATGCAGAGAAACAAAGCTAAAGCATCCAAGATGAGAACCCCTGAAAGCCCAACAACACCAGAGGGAAGTGGAACTTCCTATGAGGCTACAAAAAGCCATAGAAATGCTCTTTCTCACTGAGAGAGCTGGGCTGGGGCAGCCTAGAGAAGAGAAAGCTCCTTAAGGGGAAACCTGAGAGCAGCTCCAGTGCCCAAAAGGGCTCCAGAAAACCTGGAGAGGGGCTTGGGACAAGGGCCTGCAGGGACAGGCCAAGGGGAATGGCTTTACCCTGCCCGAGGGGAGACTGAGATGAGCTCTTAGGCAGAAGCTCTTCCCTGGGAGGGTGCTGAGGCGCTGGCACAGGGTGCCCAGAGAAGCTGTGGCTGCCCCATCCCTGGCAGTGCTCAAGGCCAGGTTGGACACAGGGGCTTGGAGCAAGCTGCTCCAGTGGAAGGGGTCCCTACCCGTGGCAGGGGTTGGAGCTGGAGGAGCTTTAAGGTCCCTTCAACCCAAACCAGGCTGGGATTCCACGAGATAACGACAGGAAGAGGAAACACAAAGAGAGAGATCGGAGCCGCTGGCCCCTCGCGGCGCTCTCCACGGCGCTCTGAGGCCGCTGGGCCGGGCCTTTAACCCGCGGAGCGCTGCGGGCAGGACATCGCCTTCGAGCCGCCTCCTGCGGCCGCTTCCCCCCCTCCCGGAAGCCGCGGAACCGGACCCCGCGCCGCAGCCGGGGTCTCGGCGTGCCGATCCCCCCCGCACCTCTTCCTGCTCGGCTCCTGGTTCTCCTGCAGGGCCGTCAGGCGCTTCCTCCGCTGCCGGCTCTTCTGCGACGGCGTCTTGGGCATCAGCTCAGGCTTGTCGCTGTAGTGGCTGCAAGGGGAGAGCAGGGCCGGGATGAGCGCGGGGCGCGGGGGGCAGCGGCCCGGGCGGGCAGGGGCCCCGCTACCTTTGGAACATCCTCTCGGCCTCCTCGCGGATCTCCGCCAGCCACACCAGGTCCACGTCGTCCACCTGCCGCAGGAGCTCGGCCAGCCGCTGGTTGCACATGGTGGGCAGCAGCGCCGTGCCCGCCGCCGCCGCCATCATCCGCTCGGCCGCCGCCACCATCACCGCCTCCGCCGCCATCGTCCCTCAGCCGCCGCCACAACGGCCCCGCCGCCCGCCTCGAATTCAAACCGAGCTCCGCCCCCTGCCCGCAGCGTCACGGCAGCGACAGCCTATCACCGCCGCGCCCGCCCCCCTGCCCGGCCTCCCTATTGGCTACATCGACACGGGCGCGCTCAAAATCAGCTCTGCCCAACAGTCCTTACTGCCGCGGGGCGCACAGCCTGGAAGGCGGGGCTAGGACGAGCGGCCAATAGGCTGCGGGATTTTAACTCCGGGGTAGTGATGGGCGTGAGCGTTAACCAATGAGAAGCCAGGTCGCGGGGAGCCGCGCGCTGTGATTGGTGGAGGCCCTGTTGATCTGGAGGCTGCAGCTGGGAGCCGTGTGTGCGGGGAGCGGTGGGCAGTGCGAGTCCGGTCCCGTCCCGCGGAAGGTCCCGTCCCGTCCCGTCCCGCGGAAGGTCCCGTCCCGTCCCGTCCCGCGGAAGGTCCCGTCCCGTCCCGTCCCGCGGAAGGTCCCGTCCCGTCCCGCGGAAGGTCCCGTCCCGCGGAAGGGGCTCCGCGCTCTGGGGCAGGGGCGGCCGCTGCGAGCCTCCCCTCTTCCTCTCTGCTGTGTTTCAGGTGTGGCCATGGTGGAAGCCGCCGGCCCCACGCGGCTGCTGGAGGTGTGCGGGCAGCGGCTCTCCCGGTTCCTCCGCGATGCCGAGCACAAGCGCCTGGCGTGGCTGCGGGAGGTGGAGGAGCAGGGCATGAGGATGCTGGAGAGGTAGGGACCGCCCCGGGGGCTGGCCGGGCCAGCAGCGCCCCAGCTCCTCTCCGTGCAGGGCTCCGTGTGCTCCCGGCTCTTCCGTGCCCTGTCCCCAGCGAGCGGCAGCGCGGGGATGCTCTCACGGTGTTCTCCTTTGCCCGACAGCAACCTGGGCGCTGAGCCCGGGCCGATGACCAGAACGCCCTCCCAGAGGAGACGCTCCAGGAAGAGGCAGTCCTCCTCCCTGAAAGACTACAGCAAGGAGCCCAGCAGGAGGAGGTAGGTGGCTCGGTGGGCTCCGGCTCCACCCCGGGCGCCGTGTTTAACCGTGGAACCGAGCGGTGACCGTTCCATTGTACACAAGGACATCAAACGGCTCCTTTATTCCCGAGTTAGCAAACACACTTAAAAGGGCCCGTCAAGATGGACCCGCGGTTTGATTCCCGTGGAGTCTGGCGCAGGGGTGGCTGGTTTCCTCCCCTTTGGTGTATTTTCCTCTTTTTCTGGTCAGAAACAAAGAACAATAAATACAATATGTTCTCAGCTGTTTGGATTTGGGCTTTGCTTGATTTTTGTTCCAGCAGGTTTTGGCCTGAGGTTGGTGTTCACTCCCTAAACCTTTGTGCTCCTGCCTGAGGGAGCCCGAGGATGGAGCCTGCTGCCAGTGCTGTGTGTGTCCAGGGTGGATGTTTGAGCTGGCAGGAGGGAAGGCTCGAAGGGAATAGTGTGAAGCTGAAGTGGAAATCGCCCGTGCACAGCAGCAATGCTGTCCCCAGCTGTAGTTGATTTCCAAGCACACAGATCCTTGCCTGCCCAGTGTTTGAGGTGTTTTGTCCTGAGCAGCCTGATAGGGAGCAGTAGAGCCTTCTGTTTTCAGCTGGGATCCTGAAGATCCCTACAAGGAGGCTTCCACATGGAGCCGCTCATGGGCGTTGGGGGTGGGCAGCTGCTGCTGCTGTCCCAGGACACGCTGTGGTGAGCTCTTTGTGCATGAGGGCACCTGGTTTTGATAACCATGGTGGAAACCCCCAGGAGTTTCACAAGAAGAGTGGGAGCTTAAAGACTGTCAGAACCAGCCATGGAGGACAGGAAGGGCACAAGAGCAGGGAGGGAGCATGGGAAGCTCCGGTGTGCGGCAGGGCAGAAGGGAATGCTGCAGAGCTGAACAAGCAGTGCTCCTTGCTCTGTTTTCCTCAGTGTGTATTTTAAAGCCCATTCTTCATGTTTGTCAATTGGACATTTCGCACTCGGTCTCCTTTGCAATTCAGGGCAAAGTCCCTCTTCTTGCTAGATGTTGGAATAAGAAATGAGAACAAGGCTGGAAGGAGGGGATCGGTGTGGGACCAGTCCCTGCTTGCTGGTGGTCATGCACCAGGGGCTGTAGCATCTGTCTCTCTCACTTGCTGATCAAGTCCATGGCTCCGTCCTCTTGTGGCAAGTTCCTAGTGCAGCAAAGAGAGTTTCACTGCTGAAGACCCCCAAGTCTCTGCAGTTGGCCGGGTTTAATGGAAGCAACAGAGATATTATGGTACCTGGTGATGTTTCGCTTGGATAACCGTAGCTGAGAGAATCCCTGAGTCCCAGCAGCACAGGGATGTGCTGATGGAATCCCTGAGTCCCAGCTGCACAGGGATGTCCCGATGGAATCTCTGAGTCCCAGCTGCACAGGGATGTCCCGGTGGAATCTCTGAGTCCCAGCAGCGCAGGGATGTCCCGATGGAATCCCTGAGTCCCAGCAGCGCAGGGATGTCCCTGTGGAATCCCTGAGTCCCAGCTGCACAGGGATGTCCCGATGGAATCCCTGAGTCCCAGCTGCACAGGGCTGTCTCTGTTGTTCCCTCAGGGCTGTGTGTGGCAGCAGTGCTGTTCCCCAGCCTGTTCACAGACTGTGTTTAGAGCCGTGGATGATTTCTCAGCACATGGGTCCCTTCCTTCCTTGGTGCTTGTGCGGTGTTTTATCCTGAGCAGCCTGACAGCAGCAGAGCCTTCTGTTTCCAGCTGGGATCCTTTAGATCCCTAGGGGGAGGCTTCCACATGGAGCTGATCATGGGAAACTGTGATAACTGGGATCCCCACTCCCTCCCCGTGTGGATGTCTGTAGTTTGCTCAAGGCAAAGTTGGTTGTACCTGTATGTGAGCACATCTGTGAGCTCCCAAGGCTCAGCTCCTGCATTTCACCAGTGACATGGGGGGGATGTGGGGGGAATGGTGGAGGGAATAAGGTACAGGCTCACCTGACAACTTGCTGTCTGCTTTTTTTCTCTATAGCCCCTTCGGGAGCTGGAGGCTCCATCATTCTATTGAATGTTGGTTTCGTTTCAGGTTGTCCAGAAGGAGAAGCAGCATCAAGCTCGTGTCTTTCAAGCCAGGCTCCCAAAGGCGCCAGAGCAAGGAGCAGCCCCTGGATCCTGGCTGTGGTGGGGAGGGTGCCCAGGCCTGTGCTGCACCCGAGCTCCCAGCACTGCCTGGGGACGGGGCAGCAGAAGCACCAGGTCCCAGCAGAGCCCAGGCGGGTGACCCACAGCGCAGCCCTGCGGGTGCCTGTGAGCTCCCTGTGTGCGAGCAGTCACCGCGGGGGGATGCAGACAGCGAGTGGCAGGATGAGGCCCCTGTCACCGGGGTCCGTGCTGGCCCCGCAGCGAGGGGGGCACAGGCAGCCCCCGGCAGAAGAACGAGCACCTCCACTCCCAAGGCTGCCGGAGCCGGGGCTGCTCCGGACCTGGCAGAGCCGCTCCTGCCGGGCTCCGGCAGCCGAGGAGCTGCGCTGGGACCCCGAGCGCGGCGCTGCTCCGGGCGCCGGAGCTCGCTGAGTGCCCCCCCCGCGGGCCGGCGGTGCTCCCTGGCCGGCCGGAGGGCGAGCAGGAGCCGCAGGGCAGTGGCCAGGAAGGCGGCAGCGGCGGCGGCGCTGGAGTCGTCCTCTGCCTCCAGCAGAGTGAGCTGTAAGTGTGTGCTGCTGCCAGCGCCTGCCGTGGGCTGCGGCGTTAGGATGAGCTGCCCCCCCCCCGGGCACTGCCCTCGCCCCTCTTAGCCTGCTCTTCTGCTCTTCACGGCCCTTGTGGCTTCTGCCCATCGGGGGGCCGATCTTCGGGTCCTCGTCCGCTGTCAGAGCGAGCCCTGGGTTGTGTTTAACTGCATCGGGAGGTGTCTGCGGGGCACAGGGAGTGGAGGCTGGGTTATAGAGGTTGTGCATGGGCAAAAGCCAAGAGGGAAAGGGAAGATGTGGCCTGGCAGGTTCCAGCCGTGGTGGGGTTTGGCTGCTCAGAAGTGACCACTATGGTCCCTGGGATGGGCTTCATGCCAACGTGGAGTTGTCTCCTGACAACTCACAGGGAATCTGTAGGACCTGAACTGAATGTCCCCACCCTGAAATCTGCCCGAAACAGGCAGAGGATATAAAGGGTTTGGGTGTAGATAGAAGAGAACCAGAGGAAATGGGGCTCACATGGAGCCCCAGCCTGGTTTGGGCTGGAAAGGCCCTTAAGCTCATCCAGTTCCAACCCCTGCCACAGGCAGGGACACCTCACACCAGACCGTGTTGCCCAGCCTGGCCTCAGAATCCAGGCCATTCCTCTTGTCCTCTGTTCCCATGGCTCCTGGGGAGGTTTTGCTGTTTGGGCTTTCTAAAAGCGTTGCTGCTGAAGTCAGTGGCTTCTGGCAGAGCCCGGAGGCCTCGGTATTTCGTTGTCAGCTTTGAGTCACGCTGTCTCAGGCGTTTGTTACCACACTTGAGCAAAGTGCTGCTTGGGGGGGTGAAACCAGCCCAAATGCACCAGATCTCTGCAGGAGCTGGGGCTGGGTGATGGGAGCTGCTGCCTCCCTGTGCAGCTGGAGCAGCCTGCAGGCAGGGAGCTGCTCCTCGGTTCCTCCTCGCAGCCCACACCCGTGTGTCAGTGCCACCCGAGGGAGGTGGCGGTGCTGGTGTGGAAGCCGGGATGAGCAATCGGAGCCTCCCCGGGGTGTGCACCACGCACACGCTGCTGCTCCCGGGGAGCACCGACCCCCCCCAACCTCCTCCTGCTCTCCCCCAGGTCAGAGCTCCCTGGAAGCGTGCGTGGAAGAGGATGTGGCCGGGACGAGGTGAGGCTGCGGGGAGGGCGGGCACGGAGAGCCCCGTGAGGGAGCTGCGCAGGGCACTGCGGTGCTCCAGCTTAGGGCTGGCTCCGTGCCCCTGCGGTGGTGTCACCCTGTGCTCTATCTCTGTGGCACTGCGGTGGTGTCACCCTGTGCTCCTGCTCTGACCCTGCGGTGGTGTCACCCTGTGCTCTATCTCTGTGGCACTGCGGTGGTGTCACCCTGTGCTCCTGCTCTGACCCTGCGGTGGTGTCACCCTGTGCTCTATCTCTGTGGCACTGCGGTGGTGTCACCCTGTGCTCCTGCTCTGACCCTGCGGTGGTGTCACCCTGTGCTCCGTGCCCCTGCGGTGGTGTCACCCTGTGCTCCGTGCCCCTGCGGTGGTGTCACCCTGTGCTCCGTGCCCCTGCGGTGGTGTCACCCTGTGCTCCGTGCCCCTGCGGTGGTGTCACCCTGTGCTCCTGCTCTGACCCTGCGGTGGTGTCACCCTGTGCTCCGTGCCCCTGCGGTGGTGTCACCCTGTGCTCCGTGCCCCTGCGGTGGTGTCACCCTGTGCTCTATCTCTGTGGCACTGTGGCGGTGTCACCCTGGGCTCCGTGACCCTGTGGTGGTGTCACCCTGTGCTCTGACCCTGTGGTGGCGTCACCCTGTGCTCTGACACTGTAATGATGTCACCCTGTGCTCTGTGACCCTGCGGTGGTGCCACCCTGTGCTCTGTCACACTGTAGTGGTGCCACCCTGTGCTCTGTCACACTGTAGTGGTGCCACCCTGTGCTCTGTCACACTGTAGTGGTGCCACCCTGTGCTCTGTCACACTGTAGTGTGTCACCCTGTGCTCTGTGACCCTGCGGTGGTGTCGCCCTGTGCTCTCTCACACTGTGGTGGTGTCACCCTGTGCTCTGTGACACTCTTTAGGTGATGGTGTCTCCTGGGCTGGTCTGAGCAGCTCCTGTGCCTGTGCTGGGGGCTGTAACCAGGCTCCCAGTGCCTGCTGGTGCCCGAGGTCAGGCACCCGCAGTCTCACCTCGGAGGTGGATGCCCAAGGCCCAGCCGAGGGCTCACAGAGCTTCCTTTCTGCCTGTGGGCTGTGCAGGAGGGCTCAGAGCTCATCGGTGCTGGTCTGTAACGCAATGGCTGGGTGCCCCACAGCAAGGCACAGCTCCAGCCCTGTGGCCTGGCTGAAGCAGGCCTGTGCCTCCGGATGGACCGGGAATAGATGGGATACGTGTCTAAATCTGTGTATGCGTTCATTCGGGTTTAGCTGTGCTTTCCCTGGGGTCCCACCCGCTGCCTCTGTCACAGTTTGATCATCACCTGTAACTTCAGAGAGCTGGAATCATTAAAACAGCGTTTCTCTTCCAGGCCTGGGCTGGAGCTGGACCCCCCAAGGGAAGGGGTGAGTTCTAAGGAGCAACCTTGAGACTGAGCTGCCCCCTTTGCTGAGCACGGCCCGGGCCAGGGTCACTGCCCCATCCCTGCAAGCTCCTCGAGCTGGGCAGCGCCTCGGAGCGCTGGGGTGATGGCTCAGCAGGGAGGGAGAGCACGGTCTGTGTGCAGGGGTGCTGTGCTGCTGCTCCTCCTGGGAGCACGCGGCGGTGGTACCCGGGCTGCCGGGGATCCCACCTGAAACCCTTCGCTGTCTTCCGGGGCTGGAGGCTGTAGTTTGGGAGTTGGTGTCTCCAAGGTGTGCAGGTGCTGCCTGTTCCCAGGGTGCTCTGGCTTTGGGGTCAGGGCCCAGCCAAGCTCCTGCTCTGGTTCGGAAGCGCTGGTCACTGAACTCCCTGCAGAGCCTGGTGTTCCAGGAGCTGCTCAGCATCCATGCAGGAGGGAGAAGCAGGCTCCTGCCTGCAGCTGGAAGGGACTGGGGCTTTCCAAGCAGTGGCTCCTGTAGCCTTGTCCTTCGGGGCAGCAGCACTCACTCAACGTCCCTGTTCCTGCAGGCTCCTGAGGACACGCTCCCTTCCAGCAGAAGCACCCTGGCTGCCAGCTGTCCTCCGTGTCCCAAGCAGCAGGCAGGGAGCGATGGAGGTAACGCTGAGCTGCTCCTGCTTTGCTGTGTGAGGGCCCAGGGACACGGAGCAGGGATCAGCACGAGGGGGTGTGGGAAATGTGGGACATGGTGACAGAAACCCCCCTCTTCGGTAAACTGTGACCCCCTGGAGAGGGCCCGGCTCATCCCACTGCGCGTCCCACGCCTTGCGCACGTGTCCGAGCTGTCCTGTCCAGCTTCAGTCCGTGTCATGAGGACGTGGGCACCCTTTGGAAGGCCATTGCTCTTAGACCTGGAATCTTCCACCTAGTGTAATGTCCTGGTAAAGCACCCTGGCATCCCTTTCCTCTGCCTTTATGTGAGGATTTACCAGCTTATTCCCTGTGCCTCCAAGCGAGGGAAGGGCTTTCTGGTTATCCACGGTGGGAAGTGGGATCTAATGAGCAGCTGTAGCTGGAGTGTGGGACAGGTTATGCCCATTCAGAGGGGTCTGTACCTGATGTGTCCTGCAGCATGCTCACATCCAGCCCTGGTGTCCCAGGCTCCTGCTTTCTCAGCCTGGTTCCCGTGCCGTGGGGCTCTGAGGCCAGCGCGGAACCCTGTGGGTGTCCTGCGGTGGTGCTGACTGCAGGCTCCTCCACAGGAACCCCGGTAAATCCCATCAGGGAATCCCAGAACAAGGACCAGGAGCGATCACCCTGTGCCAGGCCCCAGGAGGATCCCCCATGCATCTGGTACGAGACCCGTGTGAGGAGGAGGCAGGAGCCGGTGTCTGCGGGGCTCAGACCCGGCCTTAAGTGATGGGTTCCATAGAGCTTTGGGTGTTTGTCCCCAGTTCTGACCCCTCCTTGGCCAAACCTTGCCCCAGGAGCTCCTCCTGGAGCCGCGTTTGCCTGGGCAGGTCTGGCTGGGGAAGCAGAGGCAGGAGGTGACCGAGATAGCGCAGGAACAGCTTGGTGTGCCCATGGGTGGCTCCTGAGGGTGCTCTGGGAGCAGCTCTGGAAGGAATGCGAGTGGGTCACTGACCTGTTTATTTATATCCCGTGCAAGTGCCTGGAATAGCTGACCTGTTCCCTCTCAGCGCTGACCAGTGCTCCACGTCAGATTCCAGCTGCTCTTAGCTTTGCCCCTGCCCTGGTTTGGCTGGAGGGAGCTGCCTGGGGTAGAGAACGGGAGCAACAGTGACCTCTGGATGTGCAGCTTCCCTCAGGGCTGCTGCTGTGGGATGGGGTCCTGGCTGTGCAGTGAAGCATCCCCCTGGGATGAAGGGGTGCGAGTGAGGCCATTTCTGACACTGGTGAATGTGTGAGTGTCCAAAGGCTTCCTAAGGCACACGGAGCCAGTGGGGTGAGCTTGTGCTGTTTGTCTGCTTGTGCTGTTGACACCAGCTGGAGTGGGTCTGAGTGGAGGGGGAGTGTGATGTCGCACATCCCTGCCCTGCAGCTCCCCTACCGGGTTACCCTGTGCCTTTCCCGTCCTCCTTCCCGATGGACTGTGTGCCTGGCACAGGGCTGACCGGGCTCCATGGCCCATGTCCTCAGCTGGCAGCGAGCAGGCAGAGGGCAGCGTGTGACACCAAGCGAGCGCTGCCGGCGGGGTTGGGATGCGGTGGTTCCCTAACGCGCCTCTTGCTGATGCCACCAGGACCAGGAGCCGCACGCAGGCGATGGGCGCTGTGTGGAAGGGGCAGCAGCAGCAGCCGGGGGCTCAGGCCCCGTCCCCTTCGGGTGAGCGGCGCGGGAGCCCCGCAGAGCCTCCCCCCGGCGCGGGCAGCAAGGTGAGCGGGTGCCGCGGCCCCTTGCCCCCTCCCGCTCCTCACCTCCCGCCTCTCCCCGCTCCTCACCTCCCGCCTCTCCCCGCAGGTGCTGCGGAGCCTCCTGCGGGCCGTGCAGCGGCACCCGCTGCCCCCCAGCCCGGCCCCCCCGCCCCACGGCGGGGTCGTGAGGAGCCTCCTCCAGCGCAGCACCCGCACCCGGCCCAGCCCCAAGGTGGGTCCGAGCCCCAGCGGGTGCAGGGTCCTGGGCTGGCGGTGATGGGGGGATTCTGGCACAAGCACGGACCCATTCCTGGCTCAGCCCCGGCCCTTGCACGCTGCCCCCCCCCCCAGTTCTGCTTCACCCCCCCGCGGGCGGCCCCGCAGGGTCTGTGACAAGGACGTTAGTGACTGGGGTCTCTGGTACCCCCAGACCTCCCTCCCCTGCAGGGCACCTTGTCTGCTCTGTCGGGAGAGCACTCAGAGCCTCGGGAAGCTGGGTATCCTTGCAGAGGGAACGTGCCCTTGTGTCTTAGGGGGCTGCTTTAGGGCTGGGGTCAGGCAAGGGGTTCTCTACTCTGTCCTGGTAAGGAGCTGCAGCTGAGAACAGGGGTGCATGCTAGAGGGGTTCTAGTGTTAATCCCAAACCCTTAACCATGGTTTTGTCTCATCTCTGCAGGGAGACTTCGTTGTAAGTAACGACACCCTTAACTGTGGGCACTGGAGGGTTCTATGGGCCTCGTGGGCACTGACAGCTCCTTCCCCTGTCACTGGCATCATGCAGCTGTGGCCACGCCAGTGGTGAGGTGCAGGAGCTCCTTCAGGTGTGTTCTGGGCTGGGAACTGTGAGGAGACCTTTGCCTCTAAGCAGGACTCCATCATGCTCCTTTCCCCACCTTCTCCAGCCACTGGTGCAGGTGACACGGTCCCAGGCAAGAAGCATTCGCTCACTTACAGCAGGAGCTGTTCCTTGCCTGAAGATGCTCTCTGCAGCTGCAGGACTGAGGAGTTTCCCTCCCGTGCCCGTGACTCTCCTGCTCCCATTAGCTGAATCAGCACTGTTGCCAAACCTGCGTTGTTTCTCCCCTACTATTCACTTCCCATCCCGGTGTGTGGGTGAACGTGACTGACAGTGACTCCTTTGTTTAGCCTCCAGCTGCCTGTGCGCAAGCAGCCCGGGGGTAGGAACAGGCCCCAGCAGTTGGTACAGTCTGAACTCATCTCCCTCCAGGAGAAGGAGCGGCAGAGACTGGAAAGCCTCAGGAAGAAGCAGGAAGCTGAGGAGCAGAGGAAGAAGAAAATGGAGGAGGAGAAGAGGCAGCGGCAGGCGGAAATGAAGCAGTGAGTTGGTCCCTTTGCCTCCTGCGCCTTCCCTGGGTCACCACAGAATGGCCCTGGAGGCCCTTCCTGCCCCACAGCAGCTCTGCTGTACCCTGCCTGCTGCCTCCCCCTTGGGTTGTGCAGGTGAAGCTGCCTGGCCCCCCAGGCCCTGCTGCTCATGGCAGCAAGAACCACACCATGCAAAGTGCCTGCTGATGTCTGAGCTTAGCCCAGGAGCCTGCTGAGGCTGGGCCCAACCCAAGTGAGACAAGCAAAGTAGCTTCTCCCTAGTCACCATGACAAGTCCCTGTTCCCCATCACCCCTGTGCCATCACAGACCGAGCCATTCCCCATCACCTCTGTGCCAGCACAGACCGAGCCATTCCCCATCACCTCTGTGCCAGCACAGACCGAGCCGTTCCCCATCACCTCTGTGCCAGCACAGACCGAGCCATTCCCCATCACCTCTGTGCCAGCACAGACCGAGCCATTCCCCATCACCTCTGTGCCAGCACAGACCGAGCCGTTCCCCATCACCCCTGTGCCAGCACAGACCGAGCCGTTCCCCATCACCCCTGTGCCAGCACAGACCGAGCCATTCCCCATCACCCCTGCGCCATCACAGACCGAGCCATTCCCCATCACCTCTGTGCCAGCACAGACCGAGCCGTTCCCCATCACCTCTGTGCCAGCACAGACCGAGCCATTCCCCATCACCCCTGTGCCATCACAGACCGAGCCATTCCCCATCACCCCTGCGCCAGCACAGACCGAGCCATTCCCCATCACCCCTGCGCCAGCACAGACCGAGCCGTTCCCCATCACCCCTGTGCCATCACGGACCGAGCCGTTCCCCATCACCCCTGTGCCAGCACAGGCTGTGCTAACAGCCTCTTGCACTGCCCAGGAAGAGGGAAGAGCGCCTGAGGAAGGCACTGCAGGCTCGGGAGCGGGCAGAGGAGGAGAAGAAGAAGCGGATGGAGCAGAAGATCCTGCAGAGCGATGAGAAGGTGGGAATGGTGCTTGAGCTTGGGACCACCTGCTGACGCTGTGTGAGTGAGCTGAGACCAGGAGGCTGCAAACAGGCCCTGGCACGATGCATGTGAGCACAGGGCTGCTGCTGGCGGTGACTAATGGGGTGGTGGGGAAGGCTGCAGCAGGCACCCTGAAATCCTCTGACAAGCGCAGGCTTTTGTTCTCCAACCCTCTGCAGTGGCTCCAAACGTTCCTGTTCTGACACGCAGCGGTCGCGGTGCTCCGGCTCCAAGGAATGTGGCAGCATCCCTTGGCTGTCCTGGGAACAGGCCCTGCAGTGAGCCAGCCTTGCTCAGCTCCCTGCACCACCAGGGAGCTCTTCACACGCTGCATTACAGGCAGCGAAGCCTCAGTGCTTGTGGGGGTGCAAAGATGCTGTGGGGAAGAGCACTGAGCACACGAGGGATGCTCCTGGCTCGGAGACTTGGCTCTCTGTGTGTTTGCATCATGCTTGGTTTCCAACGCCTTGCCTGGCCCTCAGCTGAGGACAAGTGGATGAGGAGTGTGCTGGGGTGGGCTGCTGACGGCTGGGTGCAGGGTGTTGCTGTTTCTGCACACACCAGGTTGTCTGGGGCTGAGGGAGGCTGCTCCTGACTGACCCAAGCCCTCGCAGCCTTGGGGAGGAGAATTGCTCACCCTGGGGCATGGACTGGAGTGACCTCTGGAAAGGGGTAACCTCAGAAAACAGAGGAATTGTGCTGCTTTCTGCTGCCCCAAAACCTGGGCGGCCCAAAGCACCCCCAGCCCTGGCTGGTCTGCTCCTGCAGACATGCCAGTGCTTCACTGGGACACAGCTGGGGTGAGGGCTCCGGGGCCAGCTCTCACGCCCCCAGTGGGTGCTGCAGCTCGGGTAGGTGACAGCAGCACTGCAGGCAAAGCAGAACCCAGGTGCCAGACCCCTTCGTCCTGCAGAGAGCCACTGTCGAGGTGGAGCCGTGTTCTGGGGTTGTGTAGTGGTGTCTGTGCCCCCAGCCATGGCCTTGCTGCACAGGGGCGGTGTAGATCCGGTGCACACGTGCTGGGCGCTGGGGTCTCGGTAGGACCCGGAACCTCTTGGCCCCCAGCAGCAGCGCCCTGGGCACACACTGGGGGTGTCATTGGGGTGCTGGAGCAGAGCGTGTGGCTCCCCTCAGGTGCGGCTCTCCCAGGCGCGGGACAGGGAGGAGAAGGCGGAGGAGCGGGGCAGGAAGAAGCTGTCCAAGAAGTCTGGGGAAGCTGAGGCACGGAAGCAGAAAGCGCTGAAGGGGGTAAGAGCAGCCCCAGCTCCCTCCTGCAGGTAGAGGAGGAGCAGTGGGAACCCGTGCCCTGCTCTGGCTGGTGGGACACGGGAGGTTCCTGACTCTCAAGCACAAGGGTACCCATGGGGACAGAAGACTGCCCAAGGGGCAGGCCTGCCATGGAAGAAAGGAGAGAAGGAGACAGCTTGTCTCAAAGCATGCACTTGATGTCCTCCCACCTTTCCCCCCTTGAGCTGGAGGCTTACAGGGGTTTTCTCCTCTCCTCAGGAGGAAGATGAACTGGAGCAGCCAGAGCCGCTGCAGAAGAGGAGAGAGGATGAAGTGAGGGGGAAAGGAAAGAAAGTCTTGGAACTGAGAAGTCTTCTGGAGCAGCAGCAGGCGGAACACGGGAAGGAGAGGTATTGCCTTGGCTCTGCCTTCAGGAGGCACTGGGCAACGGGAACAGAAACAGCATTGCTGAAGGTGGGAGCCTGCTGAGGGCTCCGGCTGGCCCCGGGCACGGGAGCCAGGGGGCTGTAGGGTTGCTGGGGGGCACAGACAAGCTCTGCTCTGTAACTACAGTGCAGGTTTTCTCCCCAGGGATCACAGACCCGGAGGGAAGGAGAAGCCTCCCCATCCGCAGCTGAGGGCAGCGGCGTTCCCCGAGAAGCACAGAAAGGTGGGAGTTGAAGTGGTCTTGGAGCAGCTTCTCTGCTGGGAGCATGGGAGGCACAGGCGTGTTTTCAGTGCTGTGTTCCTGTCCAAGGCTTCCATGTTCTCTGTTGCCTTATTTAGAGAGGCAAACACAGTCAAACTGGTGACAAGCCCAACGTGTTACTGCAGGGAGCTGGGGCTGATGCAGGAGCAACCAGCTCTGGAGGTGAAGCTGGAGCTGCCTTGCTACCGGTGAGCTCCCCAGCCCCATCACGAGCTGGGGACAGCCATAACACGGCCCTTTGAAGGACACCCCCAGTGCCATTCACTGACACTTCAATGGATATGGAAATCAGTAAGGGGCAGGGGGGGTCCTACTCCATTCCCTCCCTGGTTTTGGAGGATGTGATCCCATAACACAGGTACCAGATGGCTTCGTGTGGCTCCCTCACACAGGGAATGTTGTGGCTGTTTTTCTCAAAACATCACAGCAATGTTTTCTTCCCACTCTCTCCTGACATTGCTCTGCTCTTCTGCCTTCATTAGTAAAGAATCAAAGCCCCACATGCTGCTACCCCTAAGCATGGGTTCCTCCGTCTGTGCTTGCTCTTACTGGGTCCATGACATTCAAACTCCTGGTGATGCTGTATAATATTAATGAAGGTCTAAGCAGAGCTCCTCCAGATGAGAGGGAAGCTGACTCTAATTGCAGGTGCCTGCAGCTCGTGCCCTCGCATTGCCCTTCCCTGCTGAGGAATGTGGGAGAAGGAACTCCTGGGAAGTGATTTGGGTTTGGGTGGAAAAGGAGCTCAAGCAGTGAAAACTTTTCCTCTTTAGGAAGAGAGCCCAAAGGAGCTGTGGGGCAGGAGAAGAGAGCCAGGCAACCAGAACCCATTGCTGTGGCTTCAAAGCCTGGCTGAAAGCAGTAAAGGGGAGCGTGGGCTCTAAAGACCTTGCAGATGTGGATCTGAGCAAAGACTTGGGGTTACGTTATCTCTGAGTCCTGGGTTTGGTTTGGTTGTTCTGTGGGTTTGGGTTTTTTTTCCTGCAGAAAAGACACAGAGGAGCTGAGGATTCTCTTGCAGGGCCCCAGAAACGATGGCTCAGTTCCAGAGCCAGCCTGGCTGCTTTGCTTGGGTGAACATGAATGAGGAATGGCTTCATTCTCGTATCTTAGCAGGAGGAAGCTGGTCTGCAGCGCCCGGGAGAGAGGAAGCTCAAGCAGCCGGAGGCCCCGACTGCTGCCGCTGGCACAGGGCTGAGCAAAACGCTAAAGGTGAGTCCTGGCTGCAGCGGAGCCCTCGAGCACGGGGGGGCTGTGGTGTCCGACCGGCTCCCGGGGCTGGGAGCCAGCCCGCGGAGCAGGGATGGAGCAGGAAACGCAGCCCCGGTGCGCGCTGCTGGGCTTCAGCCGGCGCTGCGCGGAGACGGGGATGGCTTCGGCTTGGCCAGAGCTCGGGGCAGGAGGAACCCGAGGGGAAAACACGTGGGGTTTATGCCGGGAAAGATGAAAGGGGCTGGAGGTGGCCACCGGATGGCAGCGCCGGGAGCCCCGGTTCCACCGCGGGGCTCCGCAGCCTCTTTGAGGTGGAGCTGCCTAAACCTGATAGCGGGAGGTGGAGGAAAAGCTGCTCGGAGCCGGACTCCGTTCTCCCGCCCTGGGGCTGACGGGGTCCTCCTGCTCCTGCTGCCTTCGCCCTGCTGCGGCTCCTGTCAGAGCTTAAGGGAGCAAGAACCAGACCTGCCATGAAACGGAATGGTTCGAGGGGTGCAGCCGCGTGCGCAGAGCCAAGCACTTGCACGGGGGCAGGACTCCGTTCTCCCAACGCTTTTGCACACAGACCAGGAGGGAAAAGGGGCTAAAAGCCGTTCCCGAGTGGCTGAGCACAGGGGCAGTTCCTGCAGTTGCACAGGGGTGGATGCTGCTGTGCTCCTGCAGTACAGAACCCTCCCAGTTTGCTCTCCAGTTGGCATCTCCAAGCGCTCCTGTGCTGCATGGGACTGTCGAGTGTCCCGGTCATCCTCTTCCTCTCCGCAAACCAGGAGCTGTCTCCAAGCTTTGGCTTGTGCTGTTCTGACCTGCAGCTGCAGTGGGAAACAGGGCCCTGGCTTCTTCCTACGCAGGCACCGGCAGTTCCTCCTGGCAGCTCTGGAGCTGCAGGGTGGGAAGGGGCTGTTTCACTGCGGTCTGCAGTCCCTGTGGCAGTCCAGCTCATGGAATCATGGAGCTGTTTGTGTTGGAAGGGACCTTAAAGCTCCTCCAGCTCCAATCCCAACCCCTTCCACTGGAGCAGCTTGCTCCAAGCCCCTGTGTCCAATCTGGCCTTGAACACTGCCAGGGATGGGGCAGCCACAGCTTCTCTGGGCACCCTGTGCCAGCGCCTCAGCACCCTCCCAGGGAAGAGCTTCTGCCTAAGACCTCATCTCAGTCTCCCCTCTGGCAGGTTCAAGCCATTCCCCTTGGCCTGTCCCTACAGGCCCTTGTCCCAAGCCCCTCTCCAGGTTCCCTGTAGCTCCTTTAGGCACTGGAGCTGCTCTCAGGTCTCCCCTTCAGGAGCCTCCTCTTGTCCAGGCTGACCCAGCCCAGCTCTCCCAGCCTGGCTCCAGAGCAGAGCTGCTCCAGCCCTTGCAGCAGCTCCATGGCCTCCTCTGGCCTCCCTCCAGCAGCTCCACGTCCCTCTTGGGCTGGGTCCTGTGCTGCTGGGATGTGGTCCGGGGCTCTGGGTGCCTGCAGGGCAGGGCCCTCCCTGGCCACCTCCTGCTCCAGCTGCTGCTGCCTCTGGTTTCAGAAATCCATCTCCGCACCCTACTTGAAGCCCCTGAAGGGCACGGAGCAGAGCAGCCACCCAAAGGTGAGCGAGGACAACTATGGCATGGACCAGAACAGCGACGATGCCACAGATGATGAGAACGACCCTCGGAACCCGGTCCCTGCCTGGGCCGACGGTAGGTGCTTGCGTTGGTTTCCTTTCTCTCCTCACCTGGAAGCTGAAGTTCTCCAGGGCAACTTGGTACTATCCTGGCTTCCCCAAAGCCAGGCGTGAGCGTGTGGGAGCTGAGCAGTGCTGGGAGCTGCTGGCTCTATGTGGGGCTGGAGCCATGCTCCTGCCAGTGCTCTGGAAGCTAAAGCAGGGTCGTCCCTGTGTGTGTTGGCATCCAAGGATGTGAGAATGGGGGGGGCCTTGTCCAAAGCCCCTCTCCAGGTTTCTCGTAGCCCCTTTGGGCACTGGAGCTCTCTCAGCCTGCTGTGATGTGTATCCTAACTGCCTCTGTGGGGCCGCTTCCCCAGGCCCTCGGCTCAAGCAGGGCATCATGCACCAGTACTACCACCCAGTGAACACGGACCAGCTCTTCGGGCTCATCTCAGGCCTCCGGCTGGAGGAGATCTTTGGCAAGAGCAAGCCCCGGTACTTCAAGCGCACGAGCTCGGCCGTTTGGCATTCCCCACCACGGCCCAGATCCGCCTCTGGCCCCTCCTGCAGCCTCAACAAGTGAGGAGAGGGGCAGGGATGTGTCTGATGCCCACCCGCAGCCTCAGCCTGGGTCTCAGTGTGGAGCCCGGGGGCAGGTCTCACTGCAGCCTCTGTGTACAATTTTAACCCATTTTTTGTACAGATTAAATTATTAAATAAAGTTCTGTTGCAATAACCCCCCCATGTGTCTGCTCCGTTTTGGGGCTGGGATGATGCTTTGGCGATTGATGCTCAGGCAGTTGGTTGGGATGTGGTGTTGTGCTCTGCTCTTCCATCTGCTCTCTCTTAGGTTCCCCCAAGCCCTTTGGGGTTCTCTTAGCATCCTTGGGGAGTCCCTCCAGGATTTCAGGGTCCTTCAGCTCCTCCAGCCCCTCTGTTACCCAAGGGGCTTGTCCCAGAGCAGAACAGACCTGACACGAGCTCTCGCTGGGTGAGGCTGAGCCTGTGGGTGCCACCTCAGTGCTTTCCCCTCTGCTGCTCCCCGGGGCCCAGCTCGGCCGCACCGCGGCTTCCTCCCATGCAGGATGTGGCAGGTCCGGTTTCAGCCTCCGCAGCAACACCCGGGCTTGGTCCTTTTTGGCTCCACTGGGGTTCCTGGCCCCTGCCCCTCCTGGGTCCTGCTGTGTGCTCCGGGTGTGCTGGGATCCTCTGGGTCAGCTCTTTGCAGCTCTCCTGGGCTCTCTGAGGCTCCCTTGGACTAGCGGGGCTCTTTGGCCCTGGTTCCTCTGAGCTGTTCTGGCCCCTCTCACCAGTGCCTTTCTCAGATGCCTCCAAGGGGTTGTGGCATCTCCAAGCCTCCTGAACCTCCGCAGCCGGTCTGGGATGTGCTGCCCGTTTCCAGGCTCCGACTGCTCCCCACCAGTGGTTTCTGTTCCTTTGATGATCCTCACATCACCCCCCAGGCACCTGAGGAGCAGCAAGTCCAGGGGTCAGGCACAGGGTGGGAGCCAGGGTTAGGATCTCCTCAGACCGGATTTCGCTGCAGCCAGGAGCAGGGATGTGGGTCCCATCGTGCCTGTGGGTGAATGTGTTTTGCTCCAGCCCCACACCAGTACTGCCCATCAGACCATGGCCAGTGTTTGATGCTCTGACCATGAGCCTGAAGCTCCCAGGAGGGCCCCTGCTGCAACCACAGCACTTTCAGTCGGGATGGGGACCAGGAAATGCATTGGAGCAGTTCTGGAGGACGTGGGACTGGCTGTGCCGAGAAGCTGGAATTGGTTGGGATGAGAAGCTGTGGGAGCCCTGCCTGGATGTGCCAGGTCCCTGAGCTCCAGCCCAGTGCCCAGCTCTGCTCAGCTGTGTTCCGGTGCTCCCGGCAATGGGAGAGGAGCAGCCCATGGAGCTGCACAGCATTCAAGGGCATGGCTGCTGATGGGAACCACCGCGGTGTGGAGAGCCTTCTGGGAGGAGCTTTATTGCACAAGGCTACAACACGAGTGCTCTTCACAGTAAATCCATGGCCAGAAGCAGAGGGAGACCTTCCTGGGGACTACACAGACCCCATCGACACGGGAGCCACAGTGAACATTCACAGGGAGTGAATAGGAATCTCGGCAGCCACCATGTGTCTGGGCACTGCCAGCACCAGGGAGCAAACAGAAACGGTTCGGACCCACCAGTGCCTCACCCCCACTCCCTTCAGCCGCAGCTCTGCTCCTTCCCACCCTCCCAGGGCCCTGGGGCAGGCCCTGTTGGACCCGTAATGCACAGACAGGTCTCGGCTGCAGGGGGTTCCTTCCTGCGCTCCTCCGGGGCATCAGCAGAGTCCATCGGAAGGTTTTCAGCACTGAAAGGATGCCTCAACAGGAAACCCCTGCCCCTCATCCATGGCACACGTTCAGGCTCGGTCCCTGAGCCCCTCGCGCCGCCGGTCCAGCCCTCACACGAGTCTGACTTGTTCAAGCGCTGCCACCTCCTGCAGGGTCTCCTCATCCAGCCCCGAGCTCGGCAGCCTTTGGGGAGGAGGAGGAAGAGGTCAATCCCCCCCCAGAGCTGACCCCGGGCCATGGCACTGCAGCCAGAGAGGGCAGAGGGGGCCAGCGTGGGGGTCTTGGTGCCATGGGGACCCTGCCTCTGTGGGCTTCCTGCTGCTATACAGCCTATTGCTCTCTGCAGCTGCCTGACAGGAGGATGCAGTGAAGGGGGTCAGGCTCTGCTCCCAAGGGACAAGAGGAAACGGCCTCAAGCTGCATCAGGGGAAGTTTAGATGGAGATTGGGACCCCTTGTCGTAAGCTCCTGTAAGCACCCAGGTGATGCCAGGACCCTTGTCCCTTACCACAGCCTCTGCAGGGACCCGGGGTGCTGCTCCAGCGCCCTGCACAGCGCCCGCACGCTCCCGTTGTCCAGGTTGTTCTCGCTCAGGTCCAGTGTCTCCAGGGCGCATCCAGCGCGGAGCACGGAGCACACGTCCTCGCAGCAGGCTCCCAAGAGGCCGCACTGCCACAGGCTGCGGGGACAGGGAAGGGACACGTGGGGACACCCCATGCACAGCCAGGAACCCAGCCTGGCCGCTGCGTGCCCCAAAACAGCTTTCAGGGAGGACTTGCTCCAGAGCTCGCTCCAGGCTTCCTGTGAGGTCCTGGTGCTGGATAAAACCTCCCAGGATGGGGAGCATCCCTTTGGATGGGCATGGGCAGGACCGGGCTTCCTCTTGACTGGGTTACCCCAGTCACTTCTCGCAACCCCAGAATAGGATTTGGTCTTTATGGAGCAAAATAGGGTTGGGGTGATCCTTATGGAGCAAACATCCGTGCACATGCACTTGGAACGTGCCGCGGGATGGAATGCCTGCAACTGGGGCAGGGAGCGCGCTGCTGCTCCGCCTGGGAGAGCTTTAAACGCCACTTGAAGTCACCTCGCCTGGGTGCTCATGAATCATTTAACCCACTGTAAACATCACTTCCCATTTCAAGCTGCGGGCACCCGGCCCCTGCGGCTCCTGCGGCCCCGAGGCACGCGGGGGGGGGGGGGGTCCCGCACCCAGAGACCTTGCCCCGGGGATGCAGGGGCGGCTCCCGGAGCCCCCCGGCTCAGCCCCACATCGCGTCACCCACCTGAGGCTGCGCAGCCGGCAGCGGGGGTCCCGCAGCCCTGGGCTCAGCCGCTTCACTCCCCCGTCCCCCACAGCGTTGCCCCCCAGGTGCAGCTCGGCCAGGCTGGGGCTGTCAGGGAGCACCGCGGCGAGGGTCTCACAGCTCAGCTCCGTCAGCCCGCACTGCCACAGCCTGCGGGGAGCAGCGAGCAGGGCCTGGCCACGGGGCTCTCCCGTCCTCCAGGGCCCCAGCGCCAACACCCCCCCAGCAGTCACGTCTGTCCCCGGGGGCACTGCAGCCCCTGCCCTCGGCTCAGCATCACCAGGGAGCTCTCCCAACCTCCGCTGGACAGACCCAGCGCGTCCCCCTCCTCCATCACTGCAAAGCAAAGGTGCCCCGAGGGAGCTGGGGGGTTCAGCCTGGAGAAGGCTCAGGGGGGACCTGATGGCTCCCTACAAGTGCCTGACAGGAGGATGGAGCCAGGAGGGGCTGGGCTCTGCTCCCAAGGAACAAGGGATGGGACAAGAGGAAACGGCCTCAAGCTGCACCAGGGCAGGTTTAGATGGAGCTGAGGAGCAATTCCTGCCCCAGAGGGTGCTCAGGCATTGGAACAGGCTGCCCAGGACAGGGCTGCAGGCACCGGCCCTGCAAGTGTTCACACACGGAGGAGACAAGGCCTCAGTGCCATGGGTTAGGGGTGGCCTTGGCACTGCTGGGGTAAGGGCTGGACTGGATGAGCTTAAAGACCTTTTCCAGCCTGGTTGATTCCATGGCTCTGTGATTTCTCACCGTTACCTGCCCTGCTCTGTGCCTCCTACCAGCCCAGCTGGACCCTTGCCCCTGGGGCTCCATGCAGCAGGGGGATGTTGCCCTGGCAGATGTGATTGATGCTGTTTCCCCACTCCTGTCCCACAGCCCCTCAGCAGCCGTGTCCTGCCTGGCTTCCTGCTCCTGGCTGACTGGGATGGGACTCGCTGGTAGCACCAGGGGGAAAGCGGGTGAAAAGCTTGTTCAGAAGCAGATGGAAGAGACAGTTCTGGCTCAATAGCGGTGGCCGTGGTGGAGCCCTGTGGGACTGGGGCACCCACCAGTGCTCTGCCACTGGCCCTGGAGCACCGAGATCCCTGTTCCTGCCGCACAGCATTTCCCAGAGCCTCCCCGGCTCAGCCCCACACCGCGTCACCCACCTGAGGCTGCGCAGCCGGCAGCGGGGGTCCCGCAGCCCTGGGCTCAGCCGCTTCACTCCCCCGTCCCCCACAGCGTTGCCCCCCAGGTGCAGCTCGGCCAGGCTGGGGCTGTCAGGGAGCACCGCGGCGAGGGTCTCACAGCTCAGCTCCGTCAGCCCGCACTGCCACAGCCTGCGGGGGATCAGGGCCTGAGCCGGGACACACCGAGCCCCGGCCACCCGCTGCTTCCTGCCCCATCCCTGGCAGTGTTCAAGGCCAGGTTGGACACAGGGGCTTGGAGCAAGCTGCTCCAGTGGAAGGGGTCCCTGCCCGTGACAGGGGTTGGAGCTGGAGGAGTTTTAAGGTCCCTTCCAACACAAACCAGGCTGGGATTCTATGACTCAGTGCCCCTGAGCCCCGGGCTGTGACCGGGCTGGTTTAGCGCATCCCCAGGCAGCGACGTGGCCGCATCCTGCGCACCCGCCCCAGTCCCACCCTGCAGCCCCACCGGCTCACGGCGGGACCGGTCCGTACTCGAGCTTCCGGAGGCCGCGCCCGGGTCCGCGCAGCGCCGCGCACAGCTCCCGCACGCCGCCGTCCCCCACCGCGTTGTCGCTGAGGTCCAGCAGCGCCAGCCCGGGCGCTGCCGCCAGCACCGATGCCAGAGCCCTGCAGCCCGCGGCCGTGATGCTGCAGCCGCCCAACCTGCGGGGGGACAGAGTGAGGGGGGCCGTGCCGGTGGCCCCAGCTTGGAGGTGGCTCCTGCAGCAGCGCTGCGGGCACCGTGGTAATGGCTTCAACCTGCCAGGGTCCCCACTGCAGTGCCAGTGTCCCCCACACAGCATCTGCCACGGCAGCACCAGCGGTGTCCCTCACGCAGTGCCCATGTACCCCCCGGTACCCCTTCCTGGTGTCCCTCACGCAGTGCCCATGTACCCCCCGGTACCCCTTCCTGGTGTCCCTCACGCAGTGCCC